GGAGCAGGGCCACCTCTTTTGATTCTTCCATCCCTCACTGCCTCACTTACTCATTTTCTCCATGCCAGGAGGGGAGGAGTTAGGAAGATGGGAAGGGAAGGACTATTTTTGCTTTTTAAGTGATTTATTTTTCTTTTCCCAAATCAGTGTTTTTCAAACTTAAGTGTCCTGGTTAAAAATGCAGCAATCCTCTCCCAAGGAATTGTGAAATCTCTGTTATCAGTGGGTTTCCCTAGTACTCCAGTGACTGATGCAGACCACACGGTGAGAAACACTCCTCCTGATGTGTTTCTGAAGAATGGGGTCTGCTGAGGGGGCATCCATCCACAGAGACTGAGCCCCTGCTTTGTGCTAGGCATTGAGCTGGATGCAAGGTCATTTTGTGGTCGGAATATTTATAATCAGGGCTTGCTCCTTATTTTTTCCTCCTTTTCCTGGCCTCCCTCCTCCCCTCCTACCTTGTTCCCTTCCTTCTCTCTTTTCTCTCTCTTCCTTTTTTCGACAATTCTTTTCTTTAAACAGTGTTTACAGTTTCTAGTCTCTGATGATGTCAGTTTGCTGTGGGAAACATTCCCAGCATTTCTTTTCAAGCACTGCTTTACTGTGTTTTGATGAGACCTGTCCATGTTGCTCCTTTTTGAGTTTTAGCAACGGGAACGTACTTGTGCCACATAAACAGTTGCCTTGATTGGCTTGTCAGGTCTGGACTAATATTGTCTGCTACAGTTGATCACAGGAGAGTGAAGCAATGTAAACATCTGAGAGCAGCTGTAGTCATTTTTAACATTTTCAGTAAGCTAACTCAGCTGCTAGTTTCTCAAAAAACTAAATTTATAAAAATAACTTTCATTTTATGCCCGTGTCTCCTGGTGGGCCTGAATGCCAAGTTTTTTAATTACAAGGTGTGACTATATCATAAGTGTCCACACATCCGCTGAAGGGTCTCACTGCTACAGTGTGGAATAAGAGCAAGGTGAGGTGCCATGTCACCTTGGCCTGCCCTGATTGTGTATGACTTCAGGGTTTCGTTTCTGCATCAGTTTCTCAGTTTAACATATACACTGATCTAGTGTGCACGTCAACAGGGCCTCACGGGAATGTCTGATTTGCTGCCTGTGAAGCTGGTTGA